CAAGCTCGAAGTGTCCATGGAGTGTGATGCGTTTTTGTGTATATATATTGCGAAAAGGGTATCTGAAAGAGAAATGCTCTTCAATGCTGAGTTTGGATGTTTAGCTGAAGGGAATGATAAAATAACCCGGGAGTGGACCATATGCGGAGTATCTTATTACAGCCTTTCTGGGCCGAATAGCCAAATCCTACTATCAAATTATAATCGCTGTTCTCAAATGGTTGGTTCAACATGGATTCATCAATATTTTGATTTTGAATTGAACCAAATCACTTCGAAGCGATTTTGTTTGGCTTTCAATTTTTACAAACTGTTTCAAACCGATGATCACTTACAAAAATAAATTTGAAAGTAGAATAATTCAATTTTTATCAGATCCAATTAAAACCGAACCCATCCCAATCAAAATATTACTTTGGTGGAGATGTTGCGACAATTAATACCGATTAAGATGTTAACACTAAATTGTTTTTATCATTTTGTTGTATTGTAATGATTAGAAACATAGAACTTTTGTTTGTAATATTTGTAAAGGCATTAATATTTATGTTTTAATGTGATGTTCTAGACTAAGCGCCTATGTTCTAGAGAAATTTTCATCTGAATTTTAATCAATTATTGTATCGTTGCTACCGTCATTTTTGTCTTCCTTCTCAGTAAAAGCTGACACTGGGACCAACTTGCACTTTACAATGTTATAAAAATTGATTTTAATCTTGTAAAATGTGGAACCAACCAGGGGCTAATATTAATGATTTAACTTGTTTGATATATATTGCTAAATCGTCGTATTAAATCAAATCAAATCAAAAAAAGTGATTTGAATGGTTATTTTGATTTGAAAAGTTTTAAAACGCTATAACCACAAATTGTCCAAATCGAAGAGTGTTGACCAATACACCTGTTTGGTCCCATTTTTAAAAACTCATTTTGTTCATTTTTTTCAATCACATTTTTTATTATTTTTTATCAAAATCTACTAAAATTTTTATTCTTATCTAAACAAAATAGGGGTATATATAAAGTTACAATGATTAAAATTTCTAGATTTAAAATGGGAAATTGGCACAACTGGTCTCTTACGTATAGTGATGGCAAAAAAACTCGCCCAACGGGTTGGTGGGGGTAGGGATCGCCGTCCTGTCTCGGATCTCGAGGTGCCCCGCCCCGTGAAGAATAAAAAAAAAAATTAATTAACTACAAATTACAAAAGCACAAAAAAGCAACTGGTAGGCAACCCTAAAGTTATTATGATGAAATTGAGTATAATATTTCTTTCGTTTTTCAGGAACCATCTCGTGTCATCTCTAGCTCTGCTGATGAATGAAGTTATGAAGATGGAAAAATATTAAATTTTGGATAAAGAAATGAAACTTAGTTACAATATAATTCAACTTGTAAATGTTTAATTTTGGACATTGTTTGTTTGAAGTGTTTGTTTTAGATATTGATATATTTAGTTTGAGTATTATTTGCTTTTGATT